ATGAATGTTTTACTGAATACACAAAGAAAAAGGCTCCCATGTTAACAATGATGAAGCCAAATGTGCATTTGAGGCCAAGTTACTGCCATCCAAGTGTTAACTCCGCCTATGGGACCCAAGCGGGACCAAGAAAGGGTGTAATTTTCCTGGCAACGGAGGCTCCCTCAGCGCAGAGGGAACCGCATTTTGTTGGTTCACGAACGACTATGAGATGCACGTGGTGCGGTCGCTACCAACATATGAACACTCCCCACCAACATGGCTCTTTTCAACCTATGAAGGAGGGGGAGCTCAGTGCTCAAAGCGGATAGCTGGCCGCCGCTGAAAGCATTGCATCGTTTTCTGGATAACAGACTGCGTGCAATGATCCATTGAGCTTTTTTCTGTAGATTGGACATTTGCGGGGTTCATCGACCAAGTTGATCGGCTGAAACTTTCCTAGGTTTTCAAAAGGATTTTTACCTGCTTACCTTAAAGGCATAATTGTTGGTTACTTTTGGCATACCTATACAATATGTAATGTGTTACAGAAAATGTCAAACAGTAGTCAATTCCAGTTATTAAATTCTACATCCCGCGTCTGAAAGGATGGTTTATCAGCTCTGCAGTGATGGATGTTTGGGATCACGTTTTCCACAACTAAGGGTTTTTTTCAAGTCACAATGAAAGAATCAACAATATTGATTAGACTGTCGGCTGTATCCGCTGCTGCATTGGCTTCGAACCAGCCATTCGACCCGGTAAACTAGGGCGTCGAGTAGTTAATAGGTCTGGACTATATGGTGGGCAGGAAGTCGTGGGTTCGAATCACATCCGGGCAAGTGAGTGATGTTTTTCTGGAACTCTCGGGTTACACCGAGAACACAGTATGAATAATATTGAAAAACTAGTGTAAAATGAAGTTGGAATGCTTCAAAGTCAAAACATATACATTAATAGCCTCAGTTGTTGCAAGCTTTTGAGATACACTCGCTTCTTTGACTGACTAACCACAAATATGCTGTGGACTAGCCATGGCCCATAGGTCATCTGATCTTACACCCAACGATTACTTTGGGAAATCATTCCCAGATTTTTGAAAAGAATAGGTTATTTATTTTAATTCCACAAATAAATCCAGTTATTAACATGAGAACGTTTGTATTCCCAGTACTCATGCGCATGCCCCTAACATCAGCGATGCATACATGTTGTAGGTTGTAGTCCATGGACTTCCGCTGTTATCAGCGATTCCATCAGCACTGTGCATATACTCAGCGAATTTACTGAAAACATCAATCAGCATACGATGAGTCATCACGGTTATTTCCCAAGCTTTCCTCTCTCTATTTTAAGCAGCGTCTGCTTTTCGGATTGAACTTCATTGCAGCAAACAGTCTTATTTATGACTCTCGATCTCTTAACTTGCACAACTGCTATTTTTATTGATGGATGAAAGTGATATTAATCGGAAACATTGTGATTTAACCAACAGACGATTGAGTGACAACATACTTAAGTACTCGATTGACACGTGTACATTTTCCTTTTCATTCCATTCATTAATTTTCCTTTCATTTTGGGTCTTCCTTAAGTTCTGCCGATTTTTCACAACACTAACAATGTGTTTAATGACTACACCTTGTTAATTTTCTCTTTTCGTAAATGAAACCAGAGACATTGAATTCAGTGTCACAAAACGTGACAGAATCGGCGTTTTAAACTACCAGTTTCTATTTGGGGATTTTCTTCAGTGAAATGAAGTTCAGGCCAATTCTTTCCACGTTATCATAAACTTTCTTGAGGGGGAATTAGAAATTAAGGGCCATGCCTGACTCAGCTTAAACCGCCTGGGTGTAATAAATGAAATTGGGGCAAAGTCATATGAGGACTAGACTTGCCTTTCGTCACACAACAAAATTGGGGATGCAATGGGAATGACAATTTTGGGGGTTATGACACTAGCAATGCAACGGGCTCATTCCATGCGTTTGGTTTCTTATCTTTCGTTTTGTTTCTTTAGATTCTCTTATCTTTAATTGAGGTTTACACCAGATTTTCATTTTTAACATTAATGCTTGATATGTTTTTATGTTTATTGAGAAGTTTTTCTGACGTAAATTATTCAGTTAACTTGTTATTATTCAGTTAACTGGTCCGACCACTGCACTACCTGATGGATCTGGCTCTAAGTCGACAGGCCTACAGAGAGTTGGTCGCCACGGTTACCTACTGTAACTGGCCATGCGAAGTCAAGTCAAGTTTTTGTTATATTTACACGCACGTAAAACTGAGTTTTCGTTTTTACCAGATTCAACTTCATGCATGGCCTGTCTTTCAACTTATGTTGTCGTGTCTTTCACCTTCCCCGTTTTTTTCTAAAGCTGCTTACCCACGTGCCTGTATTTTTGTATGTCAGTCTATTTGCCACAATGCTTATAGATTCCAGATTTGAGAATCAAGGTTTGAAACTGCATGACGTTAACATAACCCATAAAATTAAAATTTCGAATTGTTTTTATGTGTTTACTTTTTTGTTCGTTCACCTTTGTCAAAAATAGGAATAGAATTTTCTGAGCTGTATAACAATTGGTGTTGCAAGGCAAACATGACATTTGCCAGTAGCCATTTAGGATTGTATATATAAACCTGTACTGCATCGACACCTTTACGATTGTCCACGATCAGCCAGTCGTAAAAGGGGCAGCCCCCGTGGAAATTGTTCTGCGCATTGGGGACTCCCCCTTGTTCCCGGGATTTTCTGTTCCCCTGGAAAATTGTTGTGTATTTATTCTATCCCGTTGACATTGAGCATCAGATGTACAAGCTATATATTAATTTACGACCCTTAAGAAATGAGTCGGCTCACAACGTCTACCAAGGCTACAAATCAGCAGTTGACTGTATGCTGGAAATGTAGACTTATATTGATCTGGAGCATTGAACCTTGAGGTCTTGTATAACGCATCAGTCTTTCACAGTCTGTAACACTGTTTAAAATCGCGCGTAAGGCTACAACGTAATGCGTGAAGCCATCTCTTCTGCATCTTAGCAAGCTTACTATAGATGCTTCATTCATCATTCAAGATGTTCGAATGAGAACGATGGCTTTGCCGAAGAAGATCTGTGATCAGAATGTGAGGTCGTGAATGCAACCTTAATGTATCATGTCGACCTTTATACAAATCTACAAGGCGTACACAAAAAAGGTGTTTATCGAAAAGTAACTTAATATTTTTTTGTTCCTTTGAGGAAGATCACGAAGAACTTCCACTCCGAGTTTTTGCATTTTTCAACTTGCCTAATAGCAGTAAAATGACAGTTGCTCTGTCACCATGATTACCTAATCCGTTGAATCCATAACGCACATTCACTTCCTTGTAGTGTACAGACACTATTGCTTCACCATGTTTCCTTGGTCAAAGTCTCACACACACGGGGGCTTTGTTTTAGTTTTGCTTCATCTTATTTTTCTTTTCTTCTGTTTTTCATTTTTTTGACAAGGAATGTATTGCTCAAACGAGTAATTATAGTGGAAAATCAAATCACCAATAATTGATTTACAAATAGCAGCATCGCTCTAAGGACTCAGATTTTCATCCAGGCTTTAAACCACTCACTGTCTGGAATTAGTGCACAGACTGACCACTTGCTGCTTTAGTTAAACGTGTACAGTCTAATTTTCTGAAAGCGATTAGTAAGCTCACTAATTGTAATCAGGCTGTTTAAAAGCGCATAAAAATCTAGAGGAAAAACGAAATAAGCTCGCGAAATGACTTCTTTGAATACTCCCAATTTGTCATCATAATTATCATCACCAATTATCACAAGAAAATCAAACATTTGCCAACACTATTATACTGCTCCCTTGTGAAAGTATTTGCCATTGCAAATGCGATATTAGTTTCTTAGCAATCACCGTATAGATGTTTATTAGGAAGGCATGGAAAGGAGTCACTTATTCTTTTAAAGGTGACACTTGACGAGCCACCATTAATAGCTGACCAAACAGTTTAAGACTTGTAATTCTTGTCCATTTTCACCACAGGGGTGGATCTAGCTTTCCAAAAAGGGGGGGGGGGAGGTGGTGTCAAGAGGGTAGGGTTGTAAGGCATGCCGACTGAAGGCCCTCCCCTTTAGGGTCTCTGCTTTCTCCTTTTTGGCCTTGGGCAATACTAGTTTATCTTTAGGAACTTCAACATTTCGTTTATTATTCCAGCCCCACTTTACAAGCATCACGACATTATCAGCAGCAGCACAGAGGAAGGAGGGGTTATCTCTTCTCGAAAAATTAAAAGCACCCTGCTTTGGCTATTTATGTTCTCATTATTAATTAAATCGGTCTCATCGTAATCCATATTAGAAACCGAAAGACCGCAACACAGTATCCTGCAAACCGTCCAGCTGCACCACTTCCGTGATGAGGCCATGAAAGCGTAAGAGGTGAAAGTGTGGTTATAAATATCCTATATTACTAGACATCCAAATCTCGGTTTTATTTAATAGATATGAGTTTTAAAAGTTTTATCTCAATACGGTATTTGGAAGGCCTACGTATTGGAAGTGGAAATGCCAGAATTAGTGTTTCCTAGTTGCCGTTCCATGTCAATTTACCTCCAGGGCTAATTTATCTTTAGTTCCACCACGAATCCATTATCCACGCCTTGTAAAAATGTGTTTTGATCCACTATAATTAAATATCACACTTCTGTTACTTCACATGAACATACGCCTGTGTTATAAGGAGATCTTCCTTAACTATTTCGCCCACGCCCGTACTGAATTCAGTATTCCGAGTAAAGTAAGCCAATATGAATATCCCGTCTAATTTCTGGAAGCCGCTATGCTACAGTATGTACACGTATTTCAACTTATTGCACACAATGTACATGTACTTCACTGCATCGGTACCCAGAATTTCTCAGTTGCCCTGATACATGTACATGTACATTGTTGGTTTGGTATTTACTCATCGTGCGGGGCCATTCACAGCAAATGGCTTCTCAAATGTAATCCTGGGAGCATAGCGTTGGTGTTGTGACCAGGGTTGGTCGACGTTGTTCGGGCTAGCTTCACTCGTAGTATCGATTGCTTAACTACCGGTGCGACTCCATATCGGTGCTTCCCCGTTTTTATCTTACGTTCGACACCTACCTGCTTTCCGTTGCTAAATGAAAATTGCCTCATCCGAAGGAAACGATAACACACAGCAGCGAGATTTCCTTGTTTTCGAACATCTATTTTTATTCCTTGGTTGCAATTAATAAAATTCAGTGTAAAACCTATATAAACTGTGCATGAACGTCTGGAAGCATTTCATTCAAGAACCCTCTCTCAGCGATCACGTTATACCGACTCAACATGGCATTATCCTACAGCAACAGCAATATCGAAGCGTGCCTCGTAAAACCAGTCCTTGAGAAGACGGCTGAGGCTGAAGATGCCATTTCGTATACCGCATCAACCAAACACCGAAGAGCATGGCACATCATTCAACTGGTCCTACACGTAGTCTTGTTTACAGCTGTCATTTGGCTTGTTGTACAAGTGCTACATCTTCAAAATGAACTTATTCAGCTCAATCTCCGGCAGTCCAGTAAGCCAGGGGGTGATTCGTCTAACTTCAAAGGGAATCACGTGAGTACCCCTAATACATTTGTTTCGAACGAGTAACAGTCTATGGGAACTTGGCCAATGACGAGCGTAGCCCAAAGGTCTCTGTGGAGTAAACGTGTTTCTTGCAGTTAACAATCTGGTTCGGAATAAACACACACTTTTGAAGCCAATTTAGCATAATCGTTCATTTTCCTTGACTAATTTTCAAATTCATGCAGTTTTTCTCTCACTAAAGGAATCTACAGGGTTAGCTTTAAAATCACTGCATTTATTTTTATTGCATGTATAAATTTATTTATTTTGTTCATTCCTTGTTATTTGTAACCAACCACAATTAAATTTTGATCATCCTGCAGTTCAAATTTTGCCATCTATTTTATATTGGTGCTATCGAATTCGGAGTGCTTTAGATGCAGCAAAGTTTTTCATAAGTTCTTTCTAAAGGCAATTTCATATTGGCATAAAGTGTTTACGTTCGTTTGCATTTATTTTAAGTGAAATCTATTTTCCAATCTACTTATATCATAATTGCTCGTATAAATGGGCACAAGAACGTTTTGTTACATGTAGTTATCACATTATTGTTTCAGCTTATTTCAAATTCGATGAAAGTTCAACTTAAGTTTGAAGAAAATACGCATGCTACTCATGATTTCCTGCAGAAAGTCGGTCAACCCCCTTAATCTACTTTATTTTTTTGGTGGGGGGTTAGGACCTTGTCAAGTTAGCAAGTGACTAATGGTCATCGTTACACTTTAAATGTAAATCACAAAGTACAGAAACGAACCGGAAAAATGATAGTGTATGGGGTCAATCCATCAAGTTGAGGAACGTTTTGTGACATCTTGGCAATTTTTGATGAAGTATGGGGGCACTCAGAGTAGATGCTGTTGGTTTATGTTGCGTTTGACTTTCTCCCTCTTCTGGTTCTGGGATATTTCAAGGTATTCTGAAATTATTCATTGTTAAAGGACAACACACCATTTTTATCAAGTTTAACTAGCTTAAAATTATTCCTGAGTCGATTTTTTTTTCGAAATCTGATGTGAGGTCTTGGTGATATTAAAAAAATATGTAAAGTGACCCTTAGTCGCACCTTTTTTCAAATTTGGTGTAAATTTGCAAATTTCTTGGAGCGACTCTGAAACTTCCTATCAAATTTCCAAAATTTAAGTCAAGAATGATGTTCTGGGCACAATCTAAATGGCTGTTTTCCAATACGGTACTCAACTTCGTTTCCATTTCAGCTTTTTTTAACCACCTGCCTTTGAGGTTGCTTTCTCAATAGTAAGTTCGATAGCGACACAGAAATATCAAATAAGATGCCTTTAATCTAGTTTGAACTCTTCAGGGCTATCAATTGATATTGAAGAAGAAGCCTCAAACGAAAACAAAGTCGAGTATTGAAAAACGGCCTATGAAAAACATTGTGAATTCGGTTTGGGAAAACAAATTTCATTTTTTTCACCTACCCAATTCTCCTTGATACGACTATTTATTTTTAGAAACCCACGGACTATCCACCTTGATGGTCTCAGTGATCTTTCATTACATTATTTATTATACATTATTATTCTATGTTAATAATTTCAATCAAAATGAGTTTCGATCATCGCTAACATGTTTTCTATTCCCATAGAATTAGATGGCTAAGCCCTCGGCCTCCCTCCCGAAAACAAGCCAAAAATAAGCAGAAAATGCAAGAATATCATTTTCGGAAATAACTGACCGTTTCCGTATTAACTAACCCACTCGAAAGCGATAATGTTAGCCTGTTTTTGTGTGTGTTTGTTTGTCACTTTTTTTTCACCTACTGTCTACGGACTCGCTTTAGCAATATTTTCACTTTGGGTCGGTTCAATCGTTATTTGTTCAGTGTGAAAAACTTAGAGAATTCCATCAGGACATGCAATAGGTTTTGTCAGTAAATATGATGTCCAAACTGTCTATGTGTTTTTTCCGTCTGGTTGGAGATCAATGTGAGTGTCGTAAAAACACGCCCTCTTTTGTTCCGCTCAGAGCAGATTATATAAGGACCCGTAGTAATGCTATAACATGAAATGCGTTTAAGCAGGGAGGCAAGTAAAACACATGTACCCATCCTTGCTTAGTCTCTGTTGATCACAGTGTGGTAATTCATTTTATCATAAAATGTATCATTCTACTGCAATTTATTTCAAATCAGTGGTTATTGTGTTGAATATAGTTATTTGTTTGTAAGGAATTAGAAGAGAAAACGAAATATGCCACCAGCGCCTGCTTAATTTGATTTGTGCATTCAGCTGGCTTCCTTTCCTCATTTACATACACCCAGCTGTATTCTGCCGGATTCATTATCCGCTACCGGTCCCTACGTTCGGAGGACGTCTGTAAGACGTCTGGAGACTACAAACGGGACGGGAAAAGGTCTAGCATGCATAAACGCAGACAACGTCACAGACGATCCCAACTTAGTGAAGTCTAAGATTGCTCGCGCGTGCACCCATGTCGAACTTCTGTGATTGGTCAGAAGACAACGAGGCGGATCTATTCGTTTTCAACCTCGACTCCATGGGCTGCCTGCACGTTTCTTCTCTAGACCTTGGTCGTGTAGAATATGAAAATGACGCCAAATGGCTGTTTAGGATGAATATACATAAACGTAAAGTCAATCGCGTGCGTATTTCAAGCTTTGGGGTTGCACTACACCAAATATGCGCCTATTGAAAAAAGCGTAATACAAGATCAAAATAGCGCCGCCTGTTGACTCACGGAAGAGGTTGGCCCCCGTTTTTTTTCACTGGAAGATCAAGCTTATGGCCAGAAGATCACTTTTTGGTTTAATTTTAAAGGGGTAAGCCACGATTTTGTTATTCGCCTTTACCTAAAGGTACTCCCAAAATAGCAGTAAAAGTATGCGCTCAGCTTTGAATGTAGCCGTCCGCCTCTATCCAAAATAGGCCCGCAATTTGGGGCTTTTTGTTAAATACCCCGAACTGGAAACTATGCGTGCAAAATTCGGGATTTATAGAAATATTTCTATGATTCCTCCTGATTATGGCATGTCTTATTATAAAAACTCTGTTCGTTCGTGTGCAGATATACAACGATATGGTGGAATGCATCCTTAATACGCTCGCGCCCACGTATTCTCTTGCACGTCACGCGCACGCGTAAATCTGTATCGCGGTTAAACAAACTGACTAAAGGCTAATTAAAATACCCCAGGTATACTAGTGGGATGTGAAAATTATGCAATACCAGGGGTTAGATCGCGCAAGGCATGGTGAAAAACAACATGGCGCGGCAAGATCGTACCCATTAGAACGAGGTTAATTCGTTCTACACTGGCTCATCACGTTCTGCGTCACCCATCACGCAAATGAACCTTTCCTATGAAATATACAAATAAGGCAGGCGCATGCGCATTGCTACCAATGGTCGGCAAAGTTGCTTAAATTTATGTCTAAACAATACAAAACTCTATGTGCGCGCAACTATGAGCTCAAATGCGCTGTTTCTATACTCAGGCTTATAGTCTGACATGAGTGCAAAACTTAAAGACAAGATAGAATTGTTAATTTCTCGACCTGAGGACACTGAAAACTTCATTTATTTTCGAGAGAAGTGTGCTGCAGTATCGGAAAAAGGCTGTAATACGGTTTTGATTGACCTTCAAAGAGCTCCCTCCTACACTGCCAACAGTGTTGTTGGCCGCGCTTGCCAACCAGTGGTAGTAGCGCACATGCGCCTGTTTGATTTGCACATTCCGTTATAATGAGATTGTATACGACTAGTCGGCGAGAGGCACACACCAACGTTCAACACATAGCTATGAGATTGTCTGAAAAAAAGTATTGCTGAACAAAATCGTTCGAAAAATTCATCTAAAAAAAGTTGTTTTGACTTCTGACTCAAAATCATTAATGAGAGGAAGTCTATATTATATTTCTTGATATACATAAAATAATGAGTGTGAAATTTATGGTCTAATTATGAATGCCTCTGGTCTTCTGCTCAGGCCACATCATCGTCCATTCACCAACAAAGTACATTCTCTTATATTCAAAACGTAATGTACGCATTTTTAACTAAACCAAGTGACGATGTGAAAGCTGACCGCAGTTTGATAATAGAATTCTCTGAAAATACCCCAAAAATGCTTCATAGTGTCAATTTTTTTTAATCTCTGTCATTAAGTTTATCTTATTTGCATTTTTGTATCGAGCAGACGATGTCCAGCGACAGCGAAGGGCCTCGAGTCAGACGCCAAATCAGCCATGGAGACTCTATCGGTAGGTCTACATAAATTATACTTTTAAGCCTGGGGATGTCCCACACCTCAATAGACAAAAATATGAAAGTTGGAACCTTCACTGATTTTGCATGAAGTGAACTTTAAGTGAAATAAAATAAGTGATTTTTAAACCGTTGATTCATTGTAAAAGGTGGTCAGCCAAACTTCAGATGCCTAGACAATGTATGAGTTGCCTACACAATGCATGAGTTGGGTGTATCTTCTTTTAGATGGATAAAGGTATTTCTATTTGAGTTGCCAGACAGAAGGAGTGTTGCTGCTCATGTCCAAAATACATACCTGTGAAAAAAATTCATTTTTCTTCTGGTTTGCTTGTTTGGCAGGTATGGACTCAAGCTACGACTACGTAAGTTTCATTGCCATTAACTATGTGCTTTCATGGGGAAATATGCCTGCCTAAGGACATTGTTATTTTTTTAAGAATTGAAAGACGCAACATAGCGTGAATAGGACTTTCCTTGGGGCAATTAAATATCCAGAATATCGTTTCAGAAAAACAAATCCCATTAGGCACCCAAACCTGAAACCTAAACTGATTGAATCACTTCATACTGATGAAAGGGAGTTAGTTATACTTGCATGGATCATCCCCCAGGTTTGCTTTTACTTATCGCCAAAATGTTAGCCTTTACACCTTTTTGTCAAAATTCCACCTCAAATAAGTGGAATAAATTATAGGCATCGAAATGGGGGGTCATTTTTATAAAAACACGAATCTTCTTGTGAATTCACACTTAAATTAACAATTTATACACATAGAGCTATTTTCTCTTGAATATTGAACAAAGCCCTGCCCGCACCTGTAGCCTCCTCCGCAAGGCACTTAACCTCAATTTATGGTCTAAAATGGTTTAAATCGCGAAAACGTTTGCTTCCTGCAGGGTTATCCTGGAAACGAAGGATTTCCATCTTTTCACGTCACAGGCATACAGCAGCCCGTGGGAGGTAACCTACTTTCTATACTTTCATCCTTTTGCTAAAATGGCAAAAGATTTCAAGTTTGAATAATTACTACAGTCAGATTTGCATATTTTCATACTCAAAACCTTAACTTGATTTAATATATTCACAAACTGTACATCTACATATTAAATTCGGACTAAAACACCACAGGCATATTTCAATAAAGGAAGTCCAACAACTGTACTACAGTGCGCACTTTAGAGATATGGTGCATGGAAATCAGATAACAAACACTATTTTGAAACTAGCTCAAAGTTTTTCTTTTGTAAAAAATTCTTGTTACAGGGAACTGGTTCACATTTCACACCAGCATGGACCCTGCATTTTCCAAATATTCTCATGAAACTCTCGGATTTGTTCACAACAAATTCTTCGAGGTATGTCTTTGAATTTCCATTGTTTAAATATTTAGTCATTTTTGTCGTGTAAATAACACTGGTGTGCTTTTGGGGAGGCCTGAACCTGTTCTAAATGTGATATGCACCCATGAATCTTTACCAAGACCAATTAACAAGGAGCACAAGCCCCTGAACAAGTGGTGTGGAGCTTGTATTTCGAAGTTCTAAAGACATGTACCGCAAACCTTCCAGTTATCTTTTCTGTCATTCTCTGGTTCAAATCTTATTTGGCATTTGTGCACCATGTAGCAGATTGATACAACAATGCAAGCTGCGTTGTCGACAGGACCTTTATTTATTCCATGTTTTTTTTTTTTCGTAATACTTCGGAACTAGGTAACCATGCCAGGATACTACTTTGTGTACAGTCAGATTTGTTACAAAGTGAATGATCTCTCGAATGGTCATGAAGTGGTTGTTTTGCCTGATTGTGGTGATGGCGTTGAGTTTACTATTCTTCGAGCTAAAGCCCCACAAAGGTACGTAAAAAGACGTGGCTTCGTTAGAAAACAAACTAGTTTACATTATATATATTTTTTATTGAATGGTAAAATAAATATCACCAAGTCATTCTAGTTCATCAGTTAATTTAAGTGTAATTTTTGGGGGATGCAGTTGTTTTCATTTTGTTATGTGGCTCTTATGGTTACCCCTAATAGTTCTAAATTCTCCATCTTCAATACAGAGGGATATAGGTAAATGTCTGAGTAATCAATAGCGAAAGCAGTCGTTAGATTAGACAAGCCAGCTGATACGTCATCACTTATCCCGATATCCAGAGCTGAAGATATCATTGAATTAACCGTTAACCATTGACATTAATTTTTAATTCGCAAACACAAATCATGTACGAAGACTGTGAAATATTTTGTAAAGGCATTTGGAAGTTGACGCAAATATTTCCCGCTTGTGTACAGAACTGTAGATAATGGCCAGACTGCTCTTGAAGACACAGGCTACGCTGGAGGCGTATTTTACCTTGCAGCGAATGACAGGCTCGGTGTACGCCCCTTTCCGGGCCAACTAGTTCCTCTTGAATACCAGGATAACGTCGCGCAGACAAGCTATTTTGGAGCATTCTTGTTGACACCAGATAGGCACGTTGAGGTGGATGCAGACCTGAGACGTTGTCTGTAAGCACAATGTCATAATGGCTTTCTTACCTTGCTTTGCTAGTTGAAAGTTGTTCAGACTTGACTCTCAATCAAACGACAGAGTCTGTAAATGTGTGAATACTATAAGTATCGGTTTAGATTACAACATTCATATTGCTTAATTGATAAATATATAGAAAAATGCTGTTACGTGTATATAACTGCTGTCGGTGGTCTATGTCTTGTAACGAGTATACGTAATCTCAGTCATCGTTCTTGCTACGCTTCGAACAAATATCTACTCCTAAGTTATATGCTTTACAAAACTTAATAAACCTGCTGTTCAAATGGCGTTATCAGCCAACAAATGATTTAATAGATATAAAAGAAGCAGTGAGGTGTAAGTGTATATGCATTTTATGCAATAGTCAGTGTTGTAGTCGAGACCACTTAAGACCTTCACAAGACCAACACAAGACCCCATTCTGAATTCGAGTCACAAGCTATTCAAATGAAGTGCAACATCCTGTTACTTGTGACTAGTCTTGTGTGATGGTATTGTGTCTGGTCTTCTGTCTGGTTTTGTGGTGGTCTAGACTACAAAGCTTGCAATAATCAAATTAGTTGGTGGACCTGGACCAGAATTTTTTGGGGGGATTCAAATCTGTCGACCTTTGTTTGGCGAAATGGAAAAATAATTAAATTCTAGCCAAAATGTATTTTTGTGCGACCGAACTCGTTCTTATTTCTGTGACAGTGCCGGAAAAACATAGTAATAATGACATTTTCTGTTTGCAGTATCACCCCCAATAAAAAGCACTGAAGTGAAGTTTCTACCGGAAACCACTTCACGGTTTACAACCTAATTAGGCTAGTGAATGAGCTTGATTCTGCAGTGCAGTTTGTTTTTAGTTTTTTCATTCCTCCACCGTCATTTCCTAATTTCAAACACATCCGCAATCCTAAAAGTAAAACAGTATGGCTTCAGGGTCCTAAAATTCATAACGCTCGACTGGAAGGAAAAGTCTGGCATTAAAATGTTCTGTAGGAGGTCACATCTCTTTCTGTACAATGTTGGTTACTCTTAATAATTTTTTTTCAGTTTATAATTTTGTAATTAATATCTGGCTGCTGTATGGTAATCAAACATCATCAGTAAGTAGTAGTTTTTCTCTTTAAATGAAATCCAGAAGATTTCACTCTTAATTTCAAATTCACATAACGTTTAAATCTAAACTTAATCGGCTAGGTTTTTGTACCTAATACTTAATGCTAGAAAGAACAAAAAATGTTAATCTTTAGCTGAAATCCGAACACATATTGATAACTAACCAGTGCATCATAGGAACCATGCTCAGTCATTCCTTACTTCAAAATGTAATTTGGTTTGCTCCTTGCTGACCTCCAAAAAGCATGCGCTTAAATTTAACTGTCCCATCAAGGTATGATGAGAGAGAAGACTTACTTGCGAATACCCTGCGACTGATGCCGATTGTACATTTGGAAAGTTCGTTTCGCCTACGATCATTTTAAAGAAATAAATGCGAAGATGCTAAACGTCGTCATATTCTGCATGAGTTCGCTGAAACTGCCTAAATGTAACAAGCAAATGCTGTAATTATATGCACCAGTCACTGACCCCTGATTGAACACTTGTCTTTACAGGACGCAGGTAAACTCAGTTTTACTGTCAAACCTGTCTGATTTGATTTATTTTTTTATTTGGAGTTCAGAGTTTAGATTAATTTTAAACCCCGCACCCCAATATACGTGTGGGCCTTAAAATTGACATAAAAATATTTTTATTTTGTTGGAGAATATCGAGGTTGTAAAACGTTTTTATGGTCATTGGACCCATTTTACATTATATGTGAACGTCATCATGAATTTGATTAAAGGTTGAAACAAATTACTTGTGGTGCTGCCTGATATTTGTTGACTCAAATTGTTGTTTTAATTCAAGTCTCGATAAAGATGTGGATAGGAAACAGTAAATGTGACAGTCAACACACAAATTCTGACTCAAGAGTTCTCAAAGATTAGTTACGAACATAATTATCAAAGAATTGTTAATTTAGTTTCAATTTGGATACACTTGATATTCGTTTCTTTTCCAGACACGTATGGCATGAGATATTGAGGAGGTAGCAACATGTAATTGCAGTTTTTGTGTGGCACTGTTTCGCGGGGGCTCAACGACCGGGAACTTGAATTGATTNATAAATAGCATGGATTATAATTTATGAAAGTGTTCCGGGGGGGCATAACGACCGGGAACATGATATAATTTTGACTGGTGCTGTTGTTCCGGGGGGGGGGGCATAACGACAGGGAACTTGAAACAGTTCCGGGGCGGGGTTAACGACCAGGAACATGTATTGCTATGAAACATCATGATTTCAAATTTGTGCTACTGTTCCGCAGGGGCCGCAACGACTTGGAACAAACTCTCATTATTGTCCGATCTGCCAATAAAACTGCTCTGGCCTGAAGGAAACAAGTTAAAACTCAAAAGTCAGTGTCCCTGTCTTCCCTGTCTGTGTATGTGGCAGTAAATAAAAAAGAAAGAACAAATAAAATTATGAACAATGAATAAAAATAGATAAAACAATTAAAATGAAACAATAAAAAACGTAATTAAATAAAATTAATAAATAAATGAAATAAAAACAGATAAAATAACTAAAATAGAAAACAATTAAGAAATAAAACAGAAAAAATAAGAATCAGTCAGAAAATATAGATATTCAAAATTAAAAGATAAATAAAAAACTTAAAGTAGAAAAACAAAGAGAGGAAAAACTGTTATTAAAACAAAAGAGACACCTACAACAAAAATGTAAACACAAATCGTTATTGTTGTTTTAAATGAAGTAAAAAACTCAAAAACAAACTTCCAAGTGGCAAACAAAATGTAACTCGCTAAACAAAAGTGTAACTCACAAAACAAAATTCTCGCCCAACAAAATTCTCGCGTGAAAAAAAGACCAATTCTCAACGATGGGGGCGTGCGAAGCACTGTGCTCACTGTTTTGCGCTTGTTCCCTGAACTTCGCTGTCAACCGGGCTGGGCTGCGCCGGCGTTGGAATATTTCCGTCGGTAAAGTAAATATTGGATAATAAATATTAATCCCCTTGAACTTTGTCACTCACGGGATCATATCCTACATTTCCGATACACATGACTTATGTATATTTTGAAAGCTTTCGTGATTTGGTCCCTAAATTACATTTGGACAGCATGGAATACTCCAATCCACACAGATCACATAACTTTATCTGATCTACGTTCGTCCAGTTGGTATCCAGAAAATATACAACATCTTAGGCCTATTCAATTCGCCAGGGTTTCATGGCAACATCACCCATCTTTTTCTCTCCTTTTGACCAATTAGCGTGCCAAGATGTCACCTTAGCTTCTCCTCTTTTCCACCAATCACAGCGCCAAATGTTCACGGCGAATACACACACTTATCTCCCCTCGCCCACACACTTTAGCTTGTTACACAACCCTTTATCTCCCCTACAAGCCCCTAATCCCTCTTTATCCTTTTATCCACGCCTATATCATCCTAATCCCTCTCCTAATTCCCTTACAACTTAAATTTCAGCTTTTATCACCCTTATCGTCAGTATTGCGTCATTTTTGTTTGTTGTGCCGGATTAAGACCCCCTTTCCTACTGTCGGAGACTGTTTTTGCGTGTCTGAGAATAATCACAATCGAAAACAAAGTCGCCTTTTGGTTTACACAGAAGATTTTTGATCTCATTAATGAACTTTTTGCTAAAAAAGGGATCGTAAACCTAGACAGAATATACATCAAACGGGGAATAGTATGCATGACAGACAACGGGTCCGTGTATGAACAATTACATTTTTTATTAAACACGAGTTGTTATGAATAAAACTTTATGCCAATCGGGTGCACTCACACAGTGGCATAAACCCAGCGTGCCACGCGCGTGATAAGTGACCGTTTTGTGCCTTGTTTACATTGATCTCCATTATAAAGTCTGTATCCGCTGCGAGCCGGAACAAAAGAGGATGTGTTTGGTACACAGACATATAAACGCATAGGGTTTCACTACACCAAATACGCGCCCATAGAAAACAGTGCAAAATCGCACCGAAATGGCGCCGCCCGTTGACTCTCGTGAAGAGGTTGGCCACCGTATTTTGACTGGAAATTCAAGAAGATCACTTTTCGTTTCAATTTTATGGGGGTTAGCCACAAAAAATTTTTTATTCGCCTTTTCCCGAAGAAACCCTCCAAATAGTAGTCAAACTATTATTATTATTATTATCTTTATTTTACCAGGGATACCCATTCACATTTCTGTGGTCTTCCATGGGGCCCTGGGGAATTAAAATAGATAATCAAAACTAAAGTTAAAGCTTATAACAAAGTTAATAAAATAATTAAAATTACAAAACGAATGTAATAAGATAAAATAAATAAAAAACATAAAACATACATAAAATATACCCAATTATAGAATGGCAACACAAGCAAGGACACAAAACACGTAACAGTAAATAATCTAACTGTATATGTTAAAATATATCTAGAGAAGAATCCAAAAAAGATATACCAAAC